TATTATGTTATCCTGTAGGTTGGCTTGCATGTACAATTTCAATCACAGTGGTTTCTGGGAGGCCAATCATCTGTAATTTAGTAGAGATTGCAGTGTTGGAGCTTTTGCAGACACGGTTTCTCTTACTTTTGAGAGTACTTGTCTACTTGATAAAGAGAATAAAAAGGAAAAGGAAAGAAAAAAGACATTATCTGTCTTATTTCTTAGATGCAAATGAGCTGATAATGCAATTTGACTCCTTTCCCCCCTTCTCATCATGGGTGTCAGTTTCTCATGAGTCTAAAGAGAGAATGTGTCTATAGGAGATCTTGCTGCTTTAGAGCTCTGAGCATCAGCTATCTTTTCTGAGCAGTCAGCCAATGCAATCATAAGCAAATCTCCTAGGACCACCAATTTAGTATTTGCTTATGGTTGATGGCAATACAGTGTGTTTGAAGACAAATGTGCTCCTGAAATTGGTTTGTAGTTTGGATAGCCATAAGGCTGGTGGATACATGGTCTCCTTCTTTTTCTTTCTTTTGCTTTTCTTTTTTTAATGACAGAACAGTCACCTTGGATCAAAACCAAATACAGCCTGTGTTTAATGCAGTGCGTGAAGATGTGGTGGAGGATTTGGTCATGAGCACTGTCCACTGCACAGCCTACCTGACTTAGCCACCTTCTGCTCTTAGTCCATGTCATTGCTGTCTCGACTAACTAGGCTGTGGCTGTCTTCCTGCACTATTCCAGAGAAAAGAGGAGAAAAAAAGAAGTAAGTGAAATTGGCTATGAGTTTTTTGAGGTCAGTAAGAGTTGAACCTATTATTTGAGGTCATCAAAAAGAAAAAATCCTACAGGATTTCACCTCTTTTTTCCTTTTCCTGCTCCCTATTATACTAAACCACAGAAGACAATTCTGGTGATCAACAAATAGTCTCCCTCCAAACCTCTATAACAAGTTAGAGCAGAAATAAACTACTTTATAATAAGATTCAAGAAAAAAACTCTTAGGAAACAAATGTGGAGAATAAAAATTTAGGGGATTATCCTCAAGTACTAGAAGTCTATAGCACATTATTTTTACTATCAGCACTTTGAAATGACTTTACCTACCACTCAGATCAGAAGTGTTATGAAGATATCTTTATAGGAATATATTTTTGCTTATAAATTTTATATTGTATTATTTTATTAAGCAGTATATGTATAATACAAATATATAGTGTGTATATGTGCATATATAGTGTTTTATCTCTGTAACTATCTAATGGATATTAGAAAATGTGTTAGTTTTAACTGTTGGTCATATATGAAGACTGTGATCATGCAGGAAAAAAGAAAACCATCACTAATACTAAATAAGAATTATCTATCATATCAAGGAACCCAGAAGAAGAAAGAGGGATGAAAAGTCCCCTTAGAGAGCAGGAGAAATAAAACCCTCAGAGTAGATGAAGTTTGTCAGCTGAGTCTTATAGTTTAGGTGCCCGGTATTGTATTTTTCATTATAGCTATCTTCAATGGGGCAGTGTTATGGATTATTTTCACCTCTGAATTCTGAAAGGACTACCCTTAACAACTCATCTTCCTCAAATCTCAATAAAATTATCGATTTAAAGTTCGCTGACAGGGGTAAGTGGGAGAGAACTCATTTTTCACTAATTGTCAAACTCAAGAGGCCTAATAAATGGCTTAGGAAAGGTCCTTTGCCCTTCCTTTCTCTTTTCTTTCTTATTGTGTATATATCATCGCAAGAGAAGAAGTAGAGAAGAAGATACAATAAAACACAATTCTAGGAGCCACTGGCCTTCATCTTGGTCCTCAGTTCATCTCTAAATAATCTTAAGGGAAATTTTTCAAGTATGGAAAAGTATGCAGGAAACCCTAACTAAGGCTCTAATATTCAAATCCAGACTAGAGAGCAGAAGCATGCTTGTAGAACTTTCAAACCAAGATGTTTTGAAAAAAATTTCAAAATCTCCTGACACTACATTTCCCATTAAAAGCGTCAAGTAGGGACCAGTACATTTTCATAGAAGTTTATGGTTGCTTGTTGTTCATTGCAAGGCAGTGCTCAGATTCCAATGCTATTTTAGTGCAAAGTAGTAGCTTCACAAATCCCTGTAGAAATAGAAAGATATTTTCATTTTAGACTTAGGTCTGTTTTTGCATGTATTGATATTCTATGCTTTAATATTTAATACCTTTTCCTATTATTTTTATTATTTTTCCATAGGGCAGAGTTGTAGAGAAAATCACTCTTCTTCCTGAGCATTTCCCTTCATTCCTGTAGCTCTTCTACTCTTCACTTTTCTTTAACCTTCTGGGTAATCCTAGTTTTTAGGTTAGTGACTCTTACCTCTTACTTTTGGCTAAAAATATTAGAGTAGTTCAGTGTTTTTGTTACCTGTGAACTGAGTCATTTTTCATGTTTTACTCAAGTTTCAGCCTATGTCTTACCTCTATGAGCCTCACATCCAACAGAAAACTACTTCTATACAGTCTTTTCTACAGATCTCTTATTAGAAAATTCTAATCTACCTTTTAGATTTTCATGAGTCTTCTGTTTTTTTATCATGCATGTTAGCAATAGTTTCTCCCATCTTTCTTTTGTCTGAAGTCAGACTAAGTACCAGACTCTGAAGTTAATCAGAAGAAATGTGCAACAATTCCACCAAACTGTTAAGAAACTAGAATGAGGCAATAACAATGACCACAGTCTGGACACAAATAGACATTGTCTTCCTCCCTACCAGCGGGCCTCTGATTTTGTAATGTGGTAATACATCCCTAAAAATAAGTAAAAATTTAAATAAAAATAAAAAAATCTCACTTTCCTGATCTCTCATATAATTAAATTCTTATATGACCCTCTGGCTACTTAGATGTAAATGGAAGTCTTCTGATGATTTCCAGTAAGGATTTTCATGTCAGAGACATTCAGCACCCCTCTTTGCCACTTTACCCTTTTCCTTGTTCCTTCCGGGAGCAAAGATTCAATACCTAGAGATTCAGCAACCGCATTGTGATTATGAAGATGAAATTCACAAATAAGGATGCCAGAGCAGAAAGATATCACCAGCTTGGGAATGCTTAACTATGGATTTAATACAGAAGAAAAACTAGAGTGCTTATTTCTTTAAGCCACAGTGGGTAAAGTTTTCTGTTACTAACAACATATTCCTTACTGGTATAGGAAGTAGACTAAGAATCAGCACTTCAAGTGGCATAACAAGAATCCCACCTGAGTACAGAGGGTTTGCTGTTAAATAAGGCATCTAGCCTTCTTTGAGGCATATATGTCCCTGAGTTGAATCAACATTTCTGGATCAGTCAAAGCAATCTCTTCCCTCTAAGGCACTCAGTCTAACTAGTGTAGCCCAGAATTAAAACACACTTTCAGCCTGACTTACGGAGTTGACAAGCTGACCTTTTAGCTTTTTATGCCTCTCTGCAAAGCCCTGTAATGTGGTGATCATATATCTGAGCAGCCTTTTGTTTGAGGCAGAGGGTCTTCTGAAAAAAAAAAGTCAAAACTTGTCACAAGAAGAGTATTTTTAAGGACAAATAATAGATGCTTCAAATGTAATTTCTTCTTTTCAATTAATAGCAAATTACAATGGTCATTTCTCTAAGAACTGACAATACTCCTTAACTTGGCAGCTTTCTTCTTTAAGTGACAATAACTGTTTACTTATTTATCTTCATTGGGAAGAGGCTTCCTCCCACCAAGTACCCCTCCAACAAAAGTTGAATGCTATTCACATACTACCTATTTGAGCACATTAATCAACCATACTTATTTCAGACTATGCTTCCTACTTGTGTTTACTGACACAACCCAACAAAAAGTTTCTATCAGCCTGCTGTTCTAATGCAAAAATAAATCATCTACTCTTTCAAATTCCTATGAAAATCCCAATAATATGCCTGTATTGTCTATATTACTCCTTTCACCTTCTGAAAAGGTGGCTTTAGTCTCTATCTCATTATCTCATTAAGAATAACCTGTTCTATTCATATATAATACTGGCTTGAATAGAAAATGAGTCTTAGTGATCTCCAGGTAAGTCTCTTCACCATTTAAACCAGGAGTCACTTTGAGAAATTGAATGAGTTCCTGAATTAAAACAATAGTTTCCTTAGACATTGAAGACATTTCCTTAGACACTGAGGCTAATTCATACCTTTTTTTTGTCAAACATTTTAAAATAAAAAGTTTACCAATTATTGAATGGTATAATACTGGTCTGGTGGAGGTTGGCTGAAGTTTATCTTGAATTCATCAGCATTTCTTCACAGTGAAGAAGAGTTAAGTAAAACTCAGAGGTCATATGAAAATAAGACATTTTCAAGTACTCTAACTTACTATAGAAGTAGATACTTAAAAATAACATGCAATTTACAAAACTTGTCCTATCTAGTTGTTAAATCAAATACTCTGAGGACCTGGTCAGGCAAGGATTTGTTCCATATAATCTATATCATTGAAATTAATGCATATTATTGTACATCACTTTCTGATTTATATTATTTTTAAGAATAGCTTTCTACCTACCCCCTCCCCTTTCATTTAACCCCTTTAATGTGAGTCTACTCATTCTATTATAGTTTGAGTTCACTAAATGAAACATTGGGTGGGTTTTTGCCTTATTTATTAACTTTTATATTATCTCCTTGGATGTGACCATCAATCCTTACCTTTTATGAACTCTCATATCTGTCCCATGTCTGTTGCTTCCAGCACCTCTACTTTAATTCTCCCTGCACTCCATTGCCTTGTTAGGATGATGTTGCCTTTAAGTTAGAAACATTGGCCTTCCCCTTCTGACCCCACCTATATTTGCATTCAAGGTTTTCAATAGGATTTTTTTGCATTCTGCTTCCATGTCTTTATTCACAATTGCTTCTTTCTTTTCAATTCCCAAAATTGTGTTCTTTCCAGGTGAGGACATCCAAGTCTTTGCCCTGGACTCTTGTAACTCTGGGGAGAAAATATTTTCCCAACTGACAGGGGTAAGTGGGAGAGAACTCATTTTTCACTAATTGTCAAACTCAAGAGGCCTAATAAATGGCTTAGGAAAGGTCCTTTGCCCTTCCTTTCTCTTTTCTTTCTTATTGTGTATATATCATCGCAAGAGAAGAAGTAGAGAAGATACAATAAAACACAATTCTAGGAGCCACTGGCCTTCATCTTGGTCCTCAGTTCATCTCTAAATAATCTTAAGGGAAATTTTTCAAGTATGGAAAAGTATGCAGGAAACCCTAACTAAGGCTCTAATATTCAAATCCAGACTAGAGAGCAGAAGCATGCTTGTAGAACTTTCAAACCAAGATGTTTTGAAAAAAATTTCAAAATCTCCTGACACTACATTTCCCATTAAAAGCGTCAAGTAGGGACCAGTACATTTTCATAGAAGTTTATGGTTGCTTGCTGTTCATTGCAAGGCAGTGCTCAGATTCCAATGCTATTTTAGTGCAAAGTAGTAACTTCACAAATCCCTGTAGAAATAGAAAGATATTTTCATTTTAGACTTAGGTCTGTTTTTGCATGTATTGATATTCTATGCTTTAATATTTAATACCTTTTCCTATTATTTTTATTATTTTTCCATAGGGCAGAGTTGTAGAGAAAATCACTCTTCTTCCTGAGCATTTCCCTTCATTCCTGTAGCTCTTCTACTCTTCACTTTTCTTTAACCTTCTGGGTAATCCTAGTTTTTAGGTTAGTGACTCTTACCTCTTACTTTTGGCTAAAAATATTAGAGTAGTTCAGTGTTTTTGTTACCTGTGAACTGAGTCATTTTTCATGTTTTACTCAAGTTTCAGCCTATGTCTTACCTCTATGAGCCTCACATCCAACAGAAAACTACTTCTATACAGTCTTTTCTACAGATCTCTTATTAGAAAATTCTAATCTACCTTTTAGATTTTCATGAGTCTTCTGTTTTTTTATCATGCATGTTAGCAATAGTTTCTCCCATCTTTCTTTTGTCTGAAGTCAGACTAAGTACCAGACTCTGAAGTTAATCAGAAGAAATGTGCAACAATTCCACCAAACTGTTAAGAAACTAGAATGAGGCAATAACAATGACCACAGTCTGGACACAAATAGACATTGTCTTCCTCCCTACCAGCGGGCCTCTGATTTTGTAATGTGGTAATACATCCCTAAAAATAAGTAAAAATTTAAATAAAAATAAAAAAATCTCACTTTCCTGATCTCTCATATAATTAAATTCTTATATGACCCTCTGGCTACTTAGATGTAAATGGAAGTCTTCTGATGATTTCCAGTAAGGATTTTCACGTCAGAGACATTCAGCACCCCTCTTTGCCACTTTACCCTTTTCCTTGTTCCTTCCGGGAGCAAAGATTCAATACCTAGAGATTCAGCAACCGCATTGTGATTATGAAGATGAAATTCACAAATAAGGATGCCAGAGCAGAAAGATATCACCAGCTTGGGAATGCTTAACTATGGATTTAATACAGAAGAAAAACTAGAGTGCTTATTTCTTTAAGCCACAGTGGGTAAAGTTTTCTGTTACTAACAACATATTCCTTACTGGTATAGGAAGTAGACTAAGAATCAGCACTTCAAGTGGCATAACAAGAATCCCACCTGAGTACAGAGGGTTTGCTGTTAAATAAGGCATCTAGCCTTCTTTGAGGCATATATGTCCCTGAGTTGAATCAACATTTCTGGATCAGTCAAAGCAATCTCTTCCCTCTAAGGCACTCAGTCTAACTAGTGTAGCCCAGAATTAAAACACACTTTCAGCCTGACTTACGGAGTTGACAAGCTGACCTTTTAGCTTTTTATGCCTCTCTGCAAAGCCCTGTAATGTGGTGATCATATATCTGAGCAGCCTTTTGTTTGAGGCAGAGGGTCTTCTGAAAAAAAAAAGTCAAAACTTGTCACAAGAAGAGTATTTTTAAGGACAAATAATAGATGCTTCAAATGTAATTTCTTCTTTTCAATTAATAGCAAATTACAATGGTCATTTCTCTAAGAACTGACAATACTCCTTAACTTGGCAGCTTTCTTCTTTAAGTGACAATAACTGTTTACTTATTTATCTTCATTGGGAAGAGGCTTCCTCCCACCAAGTACCCCTCCAACAAAAGTTGAATGCTATTCACATACTACCTATTTGAGCACATTAATCAACCATACTTATTTCAGACTATGCTTCCTACTTGTGTTTACTGACACAACCCAACAAAAAGTTTCTATCAGCCTGCTGTTCTAATGCAAAAATAAATCATCTACTCTTTCAAATTCCTATGAAAATCCCAATAATATGCCTGTATTGTCTATATTACTCCTTTCACCTTCTGAAAAGGTGGCTTTAGTCTCTATCTCATTATCTCATTAAGAATAACCTGTTCTATTCATATATAATACTGGCTTGAATAGAAAATGAGTCTTAGTGATCTCCAGGTAAGTCTCTTCACCATTTAAACCAGGAGTCACTTTGAGAAATTGAATGAGTTCCTGAATTAAAACAATAGTTTCCTTAGACATTGAAGACATTTCCTTAGACACTGAGGCTAATTCATACCTTTTTTTTGTCAAACATTTTAAAAGTAAAAAGTCTACCAATTATTGAATGGTATAATACTGGTCTGGTGGAGGTTGGCTGAAGTTTATCTTGAATTCATCAGCATTTCTTCACAGTGAAGAAGAGTTAAGTAAAACTCAGAGGTCATATGAAAATAAGACATTTTCAAGTACTCTAACTTACTATAGAAGTAGATACTTAAAAATAACATGCAATTTACAAAACTTGTCCTATCTAGTTGTTAAATCAAATACTCTGAGGACCTGGTCAGGCAAGGATTTGTTCCATATAATCTATATCATTGAAATTAATGCATATTATTGTACATCACTTTCTGATTTATATTATTTTTAAGAATAGCTTTCTACCTACCCCCTCCCCTTTCATTTAACCCCTTTAATGTGAGTCTACTCATTCTATTATAGTTTGAGTTCACTAAATGAAACATTGGGTGGGTTTTTGCCTTATTTATTAACTTTTATATTATCTCCTTGGATGTGACCATCAATCCTTACCTTTTATGAACTCTCATATCTGTCCCATGTCTGTTGCTTCCAGCACCTCTACTTTAATTCTCCCTGCACTCCATTGCCTTGTTAGGATGATGTTGCCTTTAAGTTAGAAACATTGGCCTTCCCCTTCTGACCCCACCTATATTTGCATTCAAGGTTTTCAATAGGATTTTTTTGCATTCTGCTTCCATGTCTTTACAATTGCTTCTTTCTTTTCAATTCCCAAAATTGTGTTCTTTCCAGGTGAGGACATCCAAGTCTTTGCCCTGGACTCTTGTAACTCTGGGGAGAAAATATTTTCCCAACCTGGGCAAAATACCTTTGAAACCAAAATCAGTCAAAGGGAGAAATAAATCAGGGGAAACTCGTTCATTGCTTACAAGCAGTCATCCACTTCTGTTCACCTGTGTCTCTCATGACCCAGCTGCAAAAAGGGACCCCACCCAACCTCTGTGGTACAGATATACCCTTGTTGATTCCACTCTTGTAATCACCTATTGATATGGAAATGAACTAATTCTCTCCATCCCTTGGAAACACCTATTGATGTGAAGATGAATTAAGGCCAGGCAAGAGATTCTGGAAATATTGCAATTTTACCCACAGCCCAGCCCTCCAGAAATCTCACCTCACAGTCTACTTGCTCCCCATCTTCCACAATGGCCCCTGTGCAAAAAAATTGGAACATTGTAACCAGAATAATAACATACAATAATGACAGCAATAAAATCATGGTATCACTCAAGCTGGAGGATTCAGCTAAGTTCAAACTCCTATGCAGATTTAGACCATAGCTCACCCATTCCACAGGCAGTCAGTAGCTGAGTTCAGAGCAATCATCACACTGCAGTTGCAGTCAAGGGTTGGGTCCAGGCCACAGTAACTGTAGAAGAAAACAACCTTAAAGGTAATAAGATATATGTTGTAATGACACCAGCATAGGCAAATCTTGTCCATCAGGTAGGATGCATGCAAGAGAGTGGTCATCCAATAGGACAGTGGCAAGAATGGGATCTTGTCCTGGTCTAGTATACCAGACCTTAACCCCACTCCCTGTGGGAGTTATAGTTGGGTCAGTATATAGGGCTATGGAGGTACATGCACTGGCCATAAAGATAAACCAAAACTTCCTCATAAGATGGTCTTACTCCTAGGACATTTTGGGTACACTACCATGATCTTTGGGGGCCACTCTGCTATTCTCCAGGAACAAACAGGAGGCTAGCTTATAGGCCCTTTCCCCAAGGTGCCAGAAGGGCCAGTCATTGCTGGTTCATGTGTTGAATGTCCAGGGCCATGTCCACTCAACAGAGTCTCCAGGATTTAATGCAGTTGGGGCTGGCAGCAGGATGTTGCTCTGCTGGCCATATCCTGGCTTCAGTAACTCCTCTTTGGTTTGCACATCCAGTTGCATATGAAAGGCAGCAATGTGTGTTGGCATGTCCACAGGACTCAAGCCTCCTTTACGGGACTTCTTATTCAAATGTTGTAGGACTGTCCGTAAGCTAACTGATCAGCTCCATAGACTATTGGTGTCTGACATAAGGCCAGATTTCAGCAAACCATTGTACCTCTCTCTCATGCCTGCCCCTGTAGGGTTATATGGTACATGTAACTTTCACTTTATTCCTAATTGCTGCACGCATTCCTGCAATGCATGTCCAGTAAAGTGGGTGCCTTGATCATTCTCAATCACCTGTGGCCAGCCATAAGCTGCAAAAAAATGCTCTAGGTCCCATTTGGTGGTTTGCTGATCTGCATGACATTCAGGAAAAGCAACCGACAGGCTAGTAGCTGTCCACACAAGTCATGGCATACCAGTATCCTTCTGATATGGGGCAGAGGCTCAATATAGTTTATCTGCAACATGACAAGGGGTACTGGCCCCTTTACTATTGTCCCATGTTACTGTGGGACTCAATCTAAGTCCCTCTTAGAGCACACAAGGCAATTCTTCCAGGCTCTGCTGACTTCTTCAAAGGTCTATAGCAAGCCCCACTGATGGGCTACAGCCCACATTGTCTTTTAAGCCTTGTGCAACAAATGCTGATGCGCCATTGGGCCACATCAAAGGTAGGCTTTCCTTCTAGCCAATGCACCTGGGCCAATGTGTCTGCTTCATCATTCCCTGGGGATGCCAAAGGCAAATGGCCAGTCACATGATAGACAGTAACTGTTTTAGTCTGACCAGAGGCCTATAAGTCTTGTCACAACTCCATGTCAGTAGTCATAGGGTCAAGCCCCAATAGATGGCCTCGCCATCAGTTAAAACTATAGTGGAGGGCTTCTGGGTGGTAATGAGCAATAATGCCTACAGCTCAGCCCATTGGCTGCTCTTCCCCTCATCATCTTCCATCCATATTGTCTCAGTCTTGGATGGAAAGCCACAGCACTCCACTTTGGGGGCTGCCCATGACTGAAGCTGTCTGTAAACCAAGCATCACCAGGTATAGGGGCTTCCCTCCTGATAAGGACTCTTGGCTACCAATGGCTCAAAAGCAAGTTCTTCCTGCTTTCCACCAGTACATGCCACTGGCCCCAATAATTGTTGGAGTTCTCTACTTAAGGGGATAGTAGACAGGACGCTACACTGCTGTAAGTATGCGCCCCATTTGGCCAGTGCAGGCATCTGTGTCATGCCACTCTATAGCATTTGGGTCCAGTCTCACACCCACCCTGTGATGGGATAATTGATTATTACTTGGTCAGAGCTGTTCCAGTAATGAGCTCCCTAGCCAGCAAGGCATGGTACACAGTAGCCAGTTGCTTCTTTATCAAGGTGTTCCAGACCTTTGCTCCTTTCCATAGCTGTGACCAGAACCCAATAGGTTGGTGTGTCTGTTCAAGCTGCTGCCAAAGGCTCCATCCATAATCATGTTTGGTTACATGAACGTCAAGCTTACAGGGCCTGGATGAATTCAACACTCAAGGCCTGAATAGCCATTACTGCTTGCTTAGAAGCAGTAAAAGCAGCTGCACCCATTTCATCCCAGTCCCACCTGACACCCTTTCATCCTCCTGTGGGGGTGAGAGCCTAGGCAGATCATGAGTACTGTCCCCCAGGAAGTCTTGCAGGGACACAGGCTGGACATGGGGCTTTGACTCCAGCTTCTGTGTCCTGGACCTCAGCAGCTGAAACTGATGCTCTAGTTTTAACTAGTGCCAGTTTTAACAAGATCCTATTGGGCTTCCCATCAAGTTTTTCTTTTACTATTTCGGCCTTTATCAAATCAACCCATATCTGGGTTCTCGAGACTGTCACAGGCCCTCCTTACAGTTGTAGCCTGTACTTCCTTCTGTGCTCTTATTGTTTCAACCTCCCCCAGATCTGCTAAAATACGAGTAGCCTCACTTACGGGTTGCTCTATGTGGAGGGCAAGAATAATCACTAGAGATCCAAGGAAAGATGGGGTAGCTGTATGGAGCACCAGATTTCTCATTCCTACAGTGAACGACTCTTTATCAGGGCCCTGGGGGTCCATATTACAAATGATATTGTTCATGTCCAGCTCCCATATCACCTGTTGGAGCTCTGCATATGTTCTTCAGCTAGTGGGTAGGTATGGTAAATCACCCTGACTAAGCCAAACTACCCTGATGGCTGCTGTCAGACAATCCAGAAACACCTGATTCCCTGAGGTGTGGCAGGCACTTTGCAAACCACTGCCAGAGAGAACTGTGAGTGGTCAGTGAAGCCAGTCTACCCATTTCAGAATCAGACATAATGTTTTCCACCCCATGTCCCAGAGACGCAAAAGCCATGAAGGCAGAGGTTCTGACGGCTTCTGCTGAAACCAGATGTTCATGCCCACCAGCTCATCCTGGGTATTAGGGTAGAGCATAGTGTGCTCCACAACCTGGGGAGAGGGTAGCTTATCCCCATGAGGAGCCTGCGATTGTTGTATTTTCATTTTCTTAATTACAACAGGGAGAGTCTGGTAACTCCAGCAGTGGCCTCAGCAACAGATCGGCCCTAGGCCCTACCCACTCATACCCTCCTGACATCTCATATACCACCTCCAGAGCCCAAGGCATTGCTTTTTCCTTCCTCTCCCCCACAGCCTCCTGCTGCCTCCTGCCTTGCTGCTGACATATCTTCCAGGAGCATGAACTGTCTTCTCAATAACTGTCTCTCTTAAGGGCATCCCATAGGTCATTGCCCAGCTCCTCCCTCCAAGCGATGCTGAAGTGAGTCTCTCTCTTGCTGAAGTCTCTCTGTCTCCTTGATAACCCTTTCCACTCTCTCAAGAAACAGACATCCCACAATCCCAGCTCCCACATGGCCACTCAGGGCCTCTAAGCACTCTTCTATCTCACAGAGGGCTAATTCCACAGCTTCCAGTGTCTCCACCCTTTGCCAGTCTGGAAAAGTCCCCACCCCTCTAGGAGGTGCTTTCCTTAGATCATTTCCCCACTAGGAGCTCCCCAGTTGGAAACCCCACAGACAGGGGACTCCCAGGTGAACTTGCACCCTCCACCACTGCAGCCCCTGGGGCCTCCCCACTACCCATAGCAGGGGTTCGGGCATGTCCCCACCATCTCTAGGGCCAGCCTGCCCAAGGTTTGCACCCATGAAGAGAGATTTTGGGTTCAGAGGTCCTGCCAATTACTGCCAGGTGTAACTCCTTGGGAAAAAGCTTTCCAGCCCAAGGCAGAATACCTTTGAAGCCAAAATCAGTCAAAGGGAGAAATAAAGTGGGAGAAATCTGTTTATTTCTTACAATCAGTCATCCACTTCTGTTTGCCTGTGTCTCTAGTGACCTGGCTGCAAAAAAGGGACCCCAAACAACCTCTCTGGCACAGATATTTCCTCACTCCCCCTTGTAATTACCTATTGATATAGAGATGGACTATTTCTCTCCACCCCTTGGAAATACCTATTGATATGGAGATGCACTAAGGCCAGGGGAGAGATTCTAGAAATGTTGCAATTTTACCCACACCTTCCTCCTCTGGGAATTTTTCTCTGTTGTCTTTAGTTCAGAATGATTTGAACAACTATTAACATGCATTGGGAAAGAATCAGGGTTAGGAGTAGAAGTTTTACAGTGAGACAGATTCCAATCCTATTTTTATCACTTGATATTGACCTTGGAAAGTTCATGTCCTTTTCTCTAAAATGGGAATATTAACAATAACTATAGTGCACATAGAGTTCTGAGGACAATATGTGACCTAAGCTAAACAAAAATATTAGCTATAGTTGTACACAGCCATGATTTTTACTTCTCTATTGTTATCAGTCACAATGATCTATATGTATCTTCTTTCTCCAACCAGATGGTTCACAGAGGTCAAGGCGCTTTGCTCACAGGTGCTCAGTGTTTGTCAGTAGACTGAGACTATATGTACAGTGCCAGGAGTCATCGGGAAAAGATACCACATGAAAGCTGGCAGAAAATGTTTTTGTAAGTTTCTGAAGTGAAATCTTTTGGTTCTCACCTCTGGGAAATGAAAGGCACATATCCAAGGCAAGAAACTGTTATTTTCAACCAAATGTTCCAAGCTAAAGTTGAGTAGTTTAAAATAGCTGAAAGAATGGGGGAGTATATTTAGAACTCATTTTATTATCTCATCTTGTCTATCAAAAGAATGTTTACCAAAGGCTATTTAATATGCAGGCTTTATATAATAAGATCCTTATTGTGTTGCTGGATATATAACATAGTCAAATAACAATATTCTAAAACAGGCTATACAAAATAATACTACTAAATCAGAGCATTTCAAACTACAATTTCATTGTGCATGTAATAGGTATCACCTTGGGTCTATAGGTTAAAATAAATAGTAATATCTTATGGTAGATAAATTAGTGGGAAATAAGAGACTCTTTGGACATGAAAATGTTGCTATGGAAACCTTAATGTTCACAAGCCTGCT